GATTTATAAGAATATTTTTGAGTCACTCTGATGATCAAAATATATATCCCAGATATACTTGGTCTTTTTTAGAGTTCCTGGTTTACAGTTACCCTAAACTTTGATGTTTTCTTGAGGAGAACAATAAATGTATATTTTGATGTGTTGCAAAGATGAATTTTGAAACTGGTGGCAGATCAGTAATGGAATATTGCATATGTCTAAAACCCAATTGTGAATTAACTTTGTAAATCATGGTGTTTTCACAAAATAAAATGAAGAAAACAAAAGAAAAACTTTAAAATGTATTACATATACACAATGGAATAATACATGGCTGTAAGAAAAATAAAATAGGGGCTGGAGTGATAGTACAGCAGTTAGGGTGTTTGCCTTGCACATGGCCGACCCAGGTTTGATTTCCAGCATCCCATATGGTCCCCTGAGCACCGCCAGGAGTAATTCCTGAGTGCAAAGCCAGGAGTAACCCCTGTGCATCATCAGGTATAACCCAAAAAGAAAAAAAAGAAGAAAAAGAAAATAATGGAATTTTTGCCAGGTGGATGGAACTGGAGAGTTTTGTGCTAAGTGAAGTTAGTCAGAAGGAGAGGTAGAGATACAGTATGATCTATATTATATACATGACATGCGAATTTGTCATCATTAGACAGTTTAGCATGGTGTGGGTGACGGTGTTGGTGAGGGACACTGACACTGGGGGAGGGAAGCCGGCACTTGGGTGGAGGGTGTGGTGCTAGAATAGTTTAGTTTAAATATAAAATTCTACTGGTAACAGTATGTAAACCACAATACACAAAATAAAATAAAAATGTTAATGACTTTTAACAAAGAGATGACTTTTGGAAGTACGATAGGATAGGGATTACCAGCCTTGAGAATGTCTCCTAAGATTAGAAGGTATGAAGTTCCAGTTCTAGGTCCTATTCTCAGCCCTCAACTGTAGGGAGCAGAGAGGAGCTAGAGGTACAAGATAACTTCCGGACATTAGGTTCAGAATTATGCTATTATTTTAATGAAGACTTATGAAAAACTCAAGAGAACAGACTTAGAGAAGTTTGGGGTTGGTGAAGATGTGAAGATTTGGGGAGAGTGGTTTACATGAGAAGCCATGGAATCTCTCTCTCTCTCTCTCTCTCTCTCTCTCTCTCTCTCTCTTTCCCTTATACCTTATCCTCTGCATTTCTTCCATCTGTCTGTTCCCAGATTATATTCTATATAATGACAAATTGGTCATCTAGTGGGTACATGGGCTTCCTAAATTCTATGCACTATTCTCACAACTTATTTCTTACAACTGGAGAGGGACTCTTGGGAATCCATGGCTTATAAACAATTTGACACTAACTAACAATCTGGGCTTGAGACTTTTCTCTGAAGTAGAAGATCATTTGGGATCTATGTGCCCTTAACCTGTAGAATCTGGTGCTAGGTCATCATTGTCAGAAGTGAATTGGAATCTACAATCCCCTGCGGGTGGCTGAGAAATGCTAGTTGATGTGGCCTCTACACACAGTCATGTTGGAATTGATCCTGATGCATGCATGTTCATGCTTAATTGCGTCAGTCAACATTGGTCTCAGGCCTGCTGTGTGGTGATATTGGTTCAATGATGCAGAAGGCTCCAAGAAAAAGGAAAGCTTAAGGGGCACTATTTATTTGTATAATAGCAAGTTCTTGATGCAGGGATGTCATCTGCACATGCACACCATCAAGTGGATTCTCTCTTAAGTGCTATAGATTGGACACCAGCCTGAGGCAGTTTCCTTCTTACTGGCATATCCACTGGGCCACAATGGTAGACCCAAACCTGTGACTTCTATGTCACCACTATACCTGATTCAGGCATGGCCTGGGGATTCTGTGGATTGAGGAGTCGGTTGAACTTCCGCATGGTTTCCAGAACATTAGGGTAGGCAGGAAAGAGAAGAGAGGGAGAGAGGCCAGTTCTCAGAGCACTATATGTACAGAGGAGGGAAGAGGGTAGTAGAACACACTCCTCTTCCCTATGTAGGCACCAATGCCAGGCAGTCCCCAGGTTCCTGGCTTTTCCTGCCCTTGACCCTTTAAATCAGGGTATGTTCTGTGGTGGGCTCTGAGGGTCTTCTTGGTGCCCATTAGCAGAGGTCTGATCTCACAGACTTTGAAGACATGATCATATGCTCACATAGTCTCATAAACAAAGGGATATCACTGTGGGAAAGACATGAGAAGTAGTTTTGTGGTTTCCAAACATGTTCCCAGAAACTCTTGGCTTGCAAATTTGTAGCAGGCATTCTGGGAAATAATGGGATTGCCACCTAAATATATTTTGGAAATGTTGCATTACTTTCTCTATTCCATGCACAATTTTGAATAAAAATGACACTGATACCAAGAAGTCTTGCATTGGGTGTATGGTGCCGCCAGCAGGTCAATCTGTACCTGTGAGGCAAGTGCATCAGCAGCCTGATGGCGCCTTCAGACTTCCAGATACCCCAAAATAGCAGCTGTGCCTTTGGCCAGACCCCAAAAACTTGGGGCAAAGTTTACCAAGAAAGTAAGTGGCCAAAAGTTAGGTATGTAGGAAACACACCCACAAAGCACCTCCGGATCAGCAATATAATTGGAGGCATGGCCTCTCTGGTTGCTGATCGAACTGCTTAACAGCCATGATCCCAGAGACTCAGAAACAAATCTTGAAACTGAATGGCTCTTGACAGAAAAGCGTCCAGTCCCTACAGTAGGTTCCAGGTGCTGGGCCACCCCAGGTGGGAATAGATTTCGTGCTTGGCCTGTTCCCCCTGGCGGCCCGATGGCCACCATCCTCCAGAGGCCACTGGGCAGTCAGGTTTTGGCTCGCAGTGACGAGACACGCAGGGCCTCATGGGATGGGGGTGGAGCTGGCCCTTTCATATCCGTCCCAACAAGACCCCAACTCATCACCCATGAACAGCCTCTCTGGCTCCTGATCAAGCAGCTTAACGGCCATGATCCCAGAGACTCAGAAACAAATTGCGGAACCCAGTGGTTTTTGGCAGAAATGTGTCCGGATCTATGTAGTAGGTTACTGTCGCCTGGCCATTCCGGGGGGGAGGGTGCTGTCCCTCTGCCTGCTCCCCCTAGGTGGCTCGGTGGCCACTATCCTCCAGAGGCCATTGGACAGTCAGGTTTGGGCCTGCAGTGACGAGCATGTGGGGCCTCACGGGATGGGGGTGAAGCCGACCATTTCCTCCCCATCCCAACGAGACCCTGAGTGGCGACTAATGGCCACCCACTAATGGCCTTTCTGGCTTCTGATCAAGCTGCTTAACAGCCATGATCCAAGAGACTCAGAAACAAATCTCAGATCCCAGCAGGTTTTTGCAGAAATCCCTCCAGATTTAAGTGTTAAAATTTTGGAATTTCAAAATCTAGTGGCCACTATTGAAGCTATGCAACATCATATGTTATTCATAACCAGCAATAGAAAACAAATTGTCTACGGTTGCCTTTTCAGCAGATCTGAGTGTTGGGGTAAAATCCCAAATAATAATGGTGGGTCTGGTGTCAAAATATTGAATATAATCAAAGTAGAGAGAGAGGAATGTGGAAATCATCTGCCCCACAGGTAAGGGGAGGGTTGGGGATGGGGGAATACTGGTTTTTTTGGGGGTGGAGAATGGGCACTGGTGAAGGTACAAGTGTTTCATTGTATGACCGAGACTTAAACCCGAAAGCTTTGCAGCTGATCTGACAGTGATTCAATAGATAAAATTATAAAAAATGAAAAAAAATTAAGGTGGAGTTCATGCCTAATTCAATCAGCTAATCAGTGGCTGAATAAATAGCAATACTCCTACATTAAAAAAAAGAAGTCTTGCATTGGCTTGACTCACTTAATATGTCATTTTACAGAATGATTTGTACATGGACCATTCTTTTGGTTTGGGATTCTTTGTTGTCATTTTGAAAAATTCGTGTTTACTAGATCACTACTTGGGAAATATGGATATAGCCAAATCCCTTTTTTATGCATGAGAAGGTCAGTGAGCATGGGTCCCTGATGGAAAAAAAAGTCAACCTTTTTTCCACTAACTTCCTTAACCAGTTTTCTTTTCTTCTCTAATCCACTTACCCATAACAACCTGACAGTCATTATGCCATCCATCCCGTTTGGTTGGTGTTCATTTCCTGCTTATCTTGGACCTATAATATCTCTAGGAAGAATGATGGAGACCTTTGCACTGACTGTCATGAATGAATGAAGTGGTCTTACGAGTGATGAATCCTGAAATTCCTGGAATCCTTGGGATAGAGTATTTAATCCTGGAGATGTTGGCTCTGGAGGGATGGCCAAGCTACTGAAGTCTAAGACTCTCATAAAAGAGGATGGTTAGCAAGTTCATTTCAAATTGTGGTTACTGATCATGAAGCACTAAGAAATGGTGTGATGAGGAACATTCATTTATCAATGTACACACTGCACACTGAGTATAGGACATTAGCATCAGAAGACAAGTTGTCTTTTAGCACTTGACATATTTGTTCCTGTCATCAACCTTGAAAGCCCACTTGTATCTTAGTCATATTCACTTGAGAAACAAGATCCCTAAGACCCTAGAGGTCTTAAAACTAAGAAAGGTGGGCCCAGGGATCAAACTCAAGGAGTGGAAGCCTGCTATCTGCATTTTGACCATGATGCCATCTTCACTTCCTGTCATTATGGGAAGGAAGGGATTCATGTTTGTTTAAGAGGGCCATATTTTTCTAACGCCATAAAGAGAAAATCAACACTTTGACCCATGCTTTGCCCTGGGACAATGTATTTCTAAAGGAACAAGGAAGCTTCTGTTGTTTGGGGAAAGGAATGAGGGTCTCTGGCTTGTCTCTCCCTAAAGCGAGGCTCCTGTGTGATTTCTGCTTTCTGAGAACTCTGAGAACCCTCCTGCTCCCTTCCCAAACTCTATCAGCTACCACAAAAGCCGACCCTGTACAACAGCAATCTTTTACCCAGACAATTGCAGTAATGTCATTTGACTGAATGCTTGGTTACATTTCAAATTTATTTTCAATTGTTTTGAGCTGGATCAATGGGAAACAAGAGTGCCTTTTTAGCTTCAGCACCTGCTGTTTCCCCCCAAATGTCAAGGGCTGACATTTGATGCCCTTATCCCCAATCAACGTACTGATGACTCCCTGTCTTGCTTCCCAGGTGCTCCAGGCCCATTGCCCTGCTCACTCTCTGCAAGCCGGTCACACCATGCTGCTTGCCAATGCACTGCCCTGGGAGAGCCAAATCCTCTCTCTCTTCCTGGCAAAGAAAAGGCCTCTGAGGTGGTCACTTCACCCCGGGGGCCCTGGGAGAGGATGTATGTGAGTCCTCCTCTTTTCCTCCCTCCTCCCTGGGTCGGCACACAGGCAGGGTGAAGACTCGGAACCAGGTAAGTGCTCTCAAGGTTCGCCTGGTGGTGCAGGTAGTGGGGTGGAGTGCTTGGGTACATTTTCTCTCTTAGAGTAGGAGGACGTGTTGGGGAGCTGAGGCCGGGCATCCCTCAGATGAAGTACTCTTTCCTGCTGTTGTCCCCGGCATCCTGGAGAGAAGGGTCACTCTGCAGAGCTGCGTCGGCGCTCTCAGCGAACTCTGTGCCCTTGGCCTCATTGGTGTGGTATGTGCCCTTGTGCCTGTACATGTAGTGCAGCATGATGAGGAGGAGGCAGATAAGAACGAAGGCCACAGCAGCAATCACACCTGTAGGTGGTAAGATATTCGTGATTATGGACCAGGTCCCCTGATTAGGAAGCATTAGGAAGCATTGTAAGGGTGGGGGTGCTGGGTTTGGGTAGGATCTGGGAGCGTTGTGTCAGATCAGGTGTCCTCCTACAAAAAATGTCACTGGCTCCACTTCTTTCCTGCCTCTCTTCTCCCTGCCTGTTGGGTGCCCATCAGGACTTCTCCCTTCTCTCTCTTCTCTCCTCTCTGTCACTCTCTTCCTTCCTGTCCTCCTACCCCGCCCTCTGCAGACAGGTTGAAATTGAATCCTGAAAGTGATCCCGGCGCAGAGAGGCAGCTGCTCACAGATGAAGACATAGAGACCTGGGAAGACTTCAAGACAGCATGTGCATAATTTACACAATGAAGCTATGTGGGGTTTGCTTAAAACTTAAGGGATTATAGGGGTTGGAGCAATAGCACAGCAGGTAGGGCGTTTGCCTTGCACGCGGCCAATGAAGGTTCGATTCCCAGCATCCCATATGGTCCCCCGAGCACCGCCAGCAGTAATTCCTGAGTGCAGAGCCAGGAATAACCCCTGTGCATCACCGTGTGTGACCCTCCCCCCCCAAAAAAAAGCAAAAAAAAATTAAGGGATTATAGGGATCATCACTTCAGGTTTCTAAAGCAGGACAACCCCAACCCCATCTGAGGAACTTCCTGGACATGGGGCTAAGGGGATAAAACTGGCTGTCCTATTGCACACTCCTTTGTGGAAAAAAAATACACCCTCATCCTCCCTGCCCTAGAGATTTGTGCTCATCATTCCATTACACTCTTGTGCTTTGAGAGGAAATGTGGGCTACGAGATTGGCAGAGAGCAAAGGGAGAGGCAAGCAAAGGACTGAAATGGGATGTATACTGAGGGATAGAGATCTCACCAAGATAAGGGCTGGTGGGAATGGTCAGGTTTCATTTCTGTTTGAGGCCAGGAAAGGTCAGAAAAGGTCAGGAGGTTGGATGCGGGGTTGGGCAATAGTGGTCAAGTCACTCAAGGATTTGGAGCTATGGGGGGAGTGGAAAACAGTGAAGAGGTTCAGTAGGGACTAAAGGATATGGCTCTTATGGTAGTAAAGGGGTCCTGTGACTTCAGAACTACAGAACAAACTCTCTTTGAGGTAAGGACTCCAAGAGACCTCAGCCTTTTCTAAGAATAAAGGTGAATATCAGAACCCTTGGCGAAGAGTTGTGGAAGAACATGGGGGGACAGGTTAAACTGATATTTTTATAGAATACTCTCTACACTTTGCACTGCTAACAAGGGAACATTGGCATGCACAATATAATACTGCTACAAAAAGGACACCTCTGAGTCTAAGGAGGTGAAGAATGTCTAATGGATAGAAGTGAACAGTCTACTTTGTCTATCTGTTTCTAGCTGCAAAGTCCTCTGGCCTATAAAAAAGCGAGTGATAAGTGTGAATCTCAAAAGAGAGAAAGATCAAGTCCAAATTTAGCCCTTCCTGAAGTAGCTTGGGGTCACAGGCTTGACATGTGGAGCCTGTGTTAGGTTAGAATGAAGACTCAGGTTGCCTCTCATCTCTATGAGGGTGGAGGGACAGGGTGTGAGACCCGGTATGAGGGATATGGAAAAAAGCTCCAGGAAGGCCTGGTCAGTGCAAAAGCAACACTGACTGTGGGCCTTCTCACTATCTCTCTCATCCTTGCCCGCAGTAAGCTGTGTTGGACATCATTTGCAGGAACCAGCATTTCCAGGCTGCACCCCAAAACCTCTGAGGAGAGGGCAGAGTGCTGAGTGTGCCATCCCCTGCTCCTCTTCCCCTGCCCCTCTCCCTGCCCAGATGGCTGGGCATTTCCTCCAACCCTCCTGACCACCCAACAGTCCCATAACAGCTCACCTGCAATGATGGCGATGTCTGTCTTGGTGGAATCATTCCCTGGGTCGAGCTCTGTGGAAAAAACAGTAGAGCCAGAAGTGAGAGAGGAAGGCTTGCCGTGAAGGGAGCTGACCTGCATGCCATCTATGTAGGACTGCACAGCGCGTGGGCCCGGGGTGAACAGGAAGCAGTAGGGGGCACGGACAGGCCTCTTGCCAGGGGCTCACAGAGCCAGATGCAGCCTGAGCATGTTTGCATCTTTAACTGGGAGCGGGGCTTGCATCTGGAAGATGCAAACAGATACCTGTGAGAGATAGGAAGACGTGCATGATGCAGTGAGTGCCAGCACCTCCAGTCTCTGTGGGTCCCAACTTGTCTCAGGGTAATGGTAAAAACAGGCCATTTGTGGAGCATCTGTGCATTCCATCCAGGTGCTGGTTTAGTTACTTCCCTTCTGTTTACTATATCAGGAAGACTTTGGAGGTTTCCCAGGAGGTGGGAGGTGTTGTTAGTCTATTTTCTGGCAGAAGCCTGAGGCTAAGGGTCCAGTGCCTATAGTCATGCAATTTGTCCCATAGTGTACCAGGACTTTAGAGGTTATCCTTTCTTCTGGGGTGTATTCTCTATCTGTGGGAGAACCCCCTGCCCCAGGACTCATGTCTAGATGTTCTTCCCTGTGACCCTTCATAGTTCTCTGTATCTGGTCTTCTGTGGGAAGGATCCCCTCATTGATCCATGTTCCCAAGCCTCCACAGCCTGACCTGAGGTTGGGATGTCAAGGAGAGCAGGAGCCTGCCTGGGACATGAGCTGCTGCACAAAACATTCCCTTTCTCCTCTGGGAGATGAATGGGAGAAAGGATTTTATTAGACGATGAAACTATCAATGTTAACATGAAAATCTCATGCACCCGTTACAAGGGCTATGCATGTTAAAACAGAGAAAAATTCTTCATAGCAGTCATTTCCGCCCAGATAATTCTTTTAATTATAGTGCCATGAGGTCATTCTCTCCAGCAAGACTGCCAGATGCCTCTTTCTGATAAGAAATGGCTTGTTGGTGCCTTATCCCAGGAGGGACAGTGGTGGAAAGGAAGTGGAGGCTCCAGGCTGGAAGTCCAGAGGAAGCCAAGCTAGGGAGCCACAGAGCCTGCAGTGGGGGAGGAGGAGTAAACAAGACCTGGGTCAGCAGAAGCAAGAGTAGACACATATCGCAGATGGGCAGGAGGAGGGAGGAAGAGTCACAAAGTCAGCCTGACTGGGTCAGGAGCAGCAGGAAGTTTTTGTGCCTCTGTGACTCTGATGCAGATCTGACATGCAGCCTGTGATTTAGTGTCCAGCACACAGTGGGCACTCAATCAATGTTTGCTGAATGCATGGGAGCATGAATAAATTCATGCAGACACAGATGAATAGAATTGGATGCTGGCATTCTAGATCTCTTAAGACATTTAGTCACTAATCACAATTCTTTCAGCAAGAAAGAATAAATGCTTTACTGAATTCAGCCTGGACAGTTAGAGGCTTAATTCAAGAATAGTTCTTACTGACTTTCCGGCAGGGAGGTCATTGGGCCTTAAGTCAGTTTCTCCACCATAGCCAGGAGCAGAAGGAATTGTTATTCACTCTGTTAAATTTTTTAAAAAGTGACTAAAATTGTTTGCCATGCGTCTGGTACTGTTCTCAGAATTAAAAAATGTTTTAACTAATTTGCTCTTTGTGATAGCAATTTTCAGTATTAGTTTTTATATTCCCACATCACAGATTTGGAAGTTAAATCCCACAAAAGTGTTACCCCTTTCTCTGGTTTGTACTGTTAGCAGGAGAGTGAGCAGTTCATCGATTGTGTCTGGTCAGTGTGTTGACCCTGACAGGCATGTACCAGTGACTAAGCTGGATATATACCAGAGGATGTCCTGGTTAGAAGATATCTTGGTGGGAGAGGGGGGTTGGAGGTGGGACTGGGAATAGTTTAGGTATCCTTTGGGGTCCACATCCAATGAGGTGCGTAGTAGATAGGACTACCACTCTCCTGCATGCACCCATCGAGTTGGGTGGAATCAAATTGCAAGATGTACTGTGGGACAGATCCCAAGGTAGTGACTCTTCAGTGTAAACTACCATGGATATTGGAACTGGCACAAAAGAAGAATTCTGGACCTATCAGGGAAAGCAAGGGTGTACAATAGAAGGCCCCCTATGTGTGGTCCTCCGAACAGCAGCATTTCTGGGGCACTTATTAGAAATGCTCATTCCTAGTACTCGGAGTCCACAGAGGATAGACACTAGGCGCCAACCCCCAGTGTTGTCTCAATGGGACTATTACACAGGAGTCACTAGCAGCAGTGTTTGTTAAAGGGTAAGTGCCAAAGGGTAAGTTCATAATGAGAGGGTGTGATGAGGGGACTGGAGAGACAGGGGAGAGGAAAAATACAATGACAAAGAGGGAGGTGAGAGGGAAAATGGAGACAGAGACCTTCCCCACAGGATCTATCATGTGCAGATGGGTGAGTATCTGTTAGTGGAGCTGAGATTTCATCTTCACCCTTTCCATCACAAGCACAAGGACAGGTCAACGTGTCAAGAGCATTTCTCATTAGGGTTTTACCCACCAAAATATTTGAAGCAATAGCACAGGGGGTAGGGCATTTGCCTTGCTCGCTGCCAACCCGGGTTCGATTCCTCTGCCCCTCTCGGAGGGCCCAGCAAGCTACCGAGAATATCCCACCCACACGGCAGAGCCTGGCAAGCTCCCTGTGTCATATTCGATATGCCAAAAATGGTAACAACAAGTCTCACAGTGGAGATGTTACTGGTGCCCGCTCGAGCAAATTGATGAACAATGGGAGGACAGTGCTACAGTGGTACAGATGTTTGGAGACTATAATTAAGGCAACACTACTACAAACAGGGGAAAAAAACAAATCCTTGCTTATACCGTGTTGGGTTCAGGAGACCCAACTACAAGAATAAGTTACAGAGCCAAACACAGCTTCACAAAAATGGCAGTAGAGTGGCTAAGTTGTGCAACAAGACTGGGATTCTCAACACCCAGTGTGGCCCCTGGCTGCAGACCTGGCCCCAAGGCCAAGTTCAGTACAACAGATGCTTCCTGTGAGCTGGTAGATCCAGAAACAGGAAGGGAAAGTCTGAGCCTCACAGATGCTCTTGCTCCCAGTGCACCGAGTGGAGGGAGCAGGAAGGCGGGCCCCTGTGCTCATGGAATCGCAGGAAATCTGGGTGTGGGAAGGATGTTCCCCTGACTATGGAAGTGATGCCGTTCCTGCAGGTCTGGTCCCGTGATGTGAAGACAAAGGGGAACACCTTGTCCTCTGTGCCTTTACTAGCTTCAGGCCCTGAGAGAAAGTGCTACTGAACTCCACATTTAATACTACAGAAAGTCTGCAAAAGGGAAGCTTTTCTTAAGTGACAGATAATGAGTGATAAAAGAGGTCACTCATCTTGTCAAAAATCTCTCAATCTACAAAAAAAAAGAAATTATTCTAACCTGGGATTCCATGGTATTAAAATATACTCATTCAGAGATGATTGGATAAAGAAACTATGGTATATATAAGCAATGGAACACTACTCAGCCTTAAGAAAAGATAACGTCATACAATTTCTGCAATGTGAATGGATCTGGAGAGTATCGTGTTGAGTGAAATCAGTCAGAGGCAGAGGAACAGATACAGAATGATCGCTCTTATATGTGGGACATAATTAAATCTCACAGGGAATATCATGTAAATGCCCAATGGCAATGGAAATGAAGAGCAAGAGAACCGGTCTTTAAAAGGAAGCTGGACACTGGGGAAATGGTGGGAAGGATAAGTTAGGGAAGGGAATACTACGACAATAAAAGAGGGGAAAGTGCTTACCACTGAGTCAGGTTGGGGGGATATCAGGGGCATTGGTGGGAGGTAGTGGGCACTGGTGAAGGCATGAGTGCTATAACAGTATATGACTGAAATTCAATCCTAAATATCTTTGTAGTTAATGGTAATTCCATAAAATAAATATAAATATATCTTTTTTAAAAATACCCTGCTTATTCTCTATAGTGCTGCTGTGTATACACATATGTTCCCATGAGGTCTATACGCTGGGTGACAGTGGCCTTTCACCTATAGAACCTTCATTTACCAGCAGTAATATCCTTTCTTATACTCAAAGTCCATCGGGTGGTCAATTTTTCTCCTCTGGCTGTCAAGGCATAATTGCTACCCTCTTTGAAGGTGAAATTCTGTGCTATAGTTTGCAGCTGGGTACAGCTAATAGGCTGCATAACTTCTAGAGCAACTGGATTCTGGAACCTTGATGTTGCTTCTCAGAGGTTGATGGAGAGTGGTGGTTGTGTCCTGGCCTCAGACATACACGGCCACCTTCCTTGGATAAGTGGAGCTATGCTGGGAAATCTCTGTCTCTCTGTCTTTGTCTCTCTTTGTCCCTCTCTCCCTGTCTTTTTTTCTCCCACTCTTTCTCTTTCCCCTGAAAAGGCTTGTTTCCATTCCTCCAAGGCCATAGCTAATGGATTTTCCTTCGTCCTCAGAGTTGTTGGAGGAAGAGCCCCACTTCCAGTTTCCCACTCTCCAGTTTTGAAAAAGGAAAACTCCATCACCACTCCCTGAGTGATCAAGTGTAAACATGAACCAAAAAAAAAGTGTTTGGGTGGGAGTTGGGGTTGAAGAGGGGATTCCCCAGTCAGAGTCATCTTCTGTACTCACAAATTGATCACCTGAGAGTAAGTGCATGAGATTGTTTCTTCATTCCTTCCATCAGCAAATTTTCTCTAGCAGTCACTATACCCCAACAGTATGTTTCTTAGTGAAGGTAAGGCTATCCCTTCAGGGAGCTTACTGTGTACTGGGGACAATTGTATCTGTGGGTAAATTCAGAAAGGGTTGTTCTCTAGTTCTCAGGAACGGCTTCCTGGAGGAGATTACTAGTCTATTAGACCTCAGTAGACCCCAAGGCTAGTCCACTGAGAGCGAGGGGTGGGTCAGGGTAGTAGAGAAACTGAGAGTAACAGTAAGAGTAGGACATGGGGGAAATTTCCTAGTATTAGTGCCAT